TACAATTACACAAAACAACATAGATGACTCTCACAAACATAATGTTGAGTACAAGATGCCAGACATAAAAGAATATATACTGAATGATTCCATTATATAAAGTTCAAAGACAGGCAAAACTACTATATGGTGATACAAATCAGAAAAGAGATTACCCTTAGGGGAGAGTGGTAATGACTAGGATGGGGCACAAGGGAGGATTCTGGGGTGCTGGTAATATAGTATACCTTGATCTGGATGGTAACTATGCAGGTGTGTTTGCTTTGTGAAAATTCATCAGAAAATTCACATAAGATTTGGGCATCTTGTCATAAATCTCTCCATCACCCCTCTCCAAAAAAGAAGTCAGAGAGTGAGATTAGAATAAGATAAAAAGTGTAATAAAAAAGTGTATATACATAATCAGACTATAAACCAACTAGACCTAACAAACACTTGTAGAACACTCCACCTAACGGCGGCAGAACACACATTCTTCTCAAGTGCACATGGAACATTCTCCAGGAGAGACCATACGCTAGGTCACAAAACAAGCCTCAATAAATTTAAAAGGACTGAAATCATACAAAATATGTTCTTTGACCACATTGTAATGAAATCAGAAATCAATAACAGAAGGAAATAAGAAATTAACATATATGTGGAAATTATCATATTCCTTTGACCAATGAATCAAAGAAGAAGTTACAAGGAAAACTATAAAATACTTCAAGAAGAATGAAAATTAAAACACAACATACCAAAATTTATGAGATGACGCTAAAGCAGGGCTCAGAGGTAAATTTATAGCTGTAAGCACTTACATCAAAAAAGGAGAAAGATCTCAAATAAATAACCTAAACTTCTACCTTAAGAAAATGGAAAAAGAGGAAAATACACCTAAAGCAATCAGAGGGAAGGAAATAATAAAGACTAGAATAGAAATTCATGAAATAGAAAAAAGAGAAATATTAGAGAAAAATCAATGAAACTAAAAGTTGGTTCTTTGAAAAGATCAAAAAAGTTGACAAACCTTTAGCAAAGTGTGACCAAGAAAAATAGAGAGAAAGCTCAAATTACTAAAATCAGGAATGAAAGAGGAGACATCACTATCAACTTTACAGATATAAAATGGATTATAAGAGAATACTATGAACAACTGCATGCCAACAAATTAGATAACCTAGATGAAATGGGCAAATTCCTAGAAAGACAAAAACTCCTAAAACTGACACAAGAAGAAAATTCTGAATAGACTAATAACAAGTAAAGAGATTGAATTAGTAAACAAAAACCTTCCCACAAAGAAAAGTCCAGGCTCAGAAGGCTGCAGTGGTGAATTCTACTGAACATTTAAAGAAGAATTCATATCAATTTTTTTTTTTTAAATTGGAAACCTTGGACTTTTTTTTTTTTTTTGAGGAAGATTGGCCCTGTGCGAACATCTGTTGCCAATCTTCCTCTTTTTCTTTTCTTTCTCCCCAAGGCCCCAGCACTTAGTTGTGTATCATAGTTGTAGAATTGTAGTTTTTCTATGTGGGACACCACCTTAGCATGGCTGCATGAGTGGTGAGTAGGTCCACGTCCAGGATCTGAACCAGCGAACCCCGGGCCACTGAAGCAGAAAGCGTGAACTTAACCGCTACGCCACCGGGACAGCCCCAATATCAATTCTTCTCAAACTCTTCCAAAAGGGAGAAGAGAAGGAAATACTTCCTAACTCATTCCATGAGGCCAGGATTACTCTGATTTCAATACCAGACAAAGATATCACAAGAAAACTATGAATACAAACAAGTCCTCAACAAAATACTAGAAAACTGAATCTAATAGCATATAAAAAGGATTATACATCATGACCAAGTGGGATTTATCTTAGGAATGCAGGGTTGGTTTAACATCTGAAAATCAATAAATCATATGAACAGAATAAAGGACAAAAACCACATGATCATCTCAACAGATGCTGAAAAGCATTTGTCAAATCCAACAGCCTTTAATGATATAAACACTCAATAAACTAGAAAAAGAAGAGCACTTCCTCAACCTGATAAAGGGCATCTACCAAAAACCCACAGCAAAAATCACACCTAATGGTGAAAGAACGAAAGCTCCCTTGCTAAGATCAGGTACAAGACACGGATGTCTGCTCTCATCTCTTCTTTCAATATTATATTGGAAGTTCTAGCCGGGGCAAAAAGACAAGAAAAATAAATAAAAGGTGACCGGAAAGGAAGAAGTAAAACAAACTTTATTTGCAGAAGATATGAACTTCCATGTAGAAAATCCTAAGGAATCCACTAAAACACTATTAGAACTAATAAATGAGCTCAGCAACGTTTCAGGATACAAGATAAACAGCTAAAAACCAATTATGCAATGAAAAATCTGAAAATGCCATTAAGAAAGTTCTATTTACAACAGCATCAAAAAGAATAAAATTAACAAAGGAAGCGCAAACTTGGACACTGAAAACTACAAAACATTGTTAAATGAAATTAAGGAAGATCTAAATAAATGGAAAGACATCCTGTATTCATGGATCAGAAGACTTAAAACCGTTAAGATGACAACATCGCCCAAATTGACCTACAGACTCAGTGCAATCTCTATCAAAATCCTAGCTGTCTTTTTTTTGTGGAAATTGACAAATGGATACTAAAATTCATATGGAAATGCAAGGGACCCTGAACAGACCAAACCATCTCGAAAAAGAAAAAGTTGAATGACTCACATGTTCTGACTTCAAAATAATTACAAAGCTACAGTAATCAAGGCAATGTGAACCTGGCATAAGTACAGACATACAGATTAATGGAACAGAATTTAGAGTCCAGGAATATAAACGCTCACATGTATGGTCAATTGATTTTTGGCAAGGGTGCCAAAATAATTCAATGGAGAAAGAATAGTTTTTTCAACAAGCAACATTGGGACAACTGCATACCCAGATACAAAAGAATGAAATTGGAGTCACTCCTCACATCACACATAAAAAACAACTCAAATGGATCAGAGGGCTAAAAATAAGGCTAAACTTTTAAACTCTCAGAAGAAAACACAGGAGTAAATTTTTGTGGTGTTAGGTTGGGCAAAGCTTTCTTAGATATGACATTAACAGCACAAGCAATAAAAGAAAAAAATAGACAACTTGGACTTTTATCAAAATTTAAAACTTTTGCACTGTAAATGAAACCACCAAGAAGTAAGAAGACAACCCACAGAAGGAGAGAAAATATCTTCAAATCACTTATTGGTAAGAGACTGGTATCAAGAATATACGAGGAACTCTTAAAACTCAATGATAAAACAAGAAATAGCCCATTTAAAAAACAGACAAATGATCTGAATAGACAGTTCTCAAAAAAAAAAAAAAAAAAGAAATACTAATGGCCAATAAGTCCATGAAAATATGCTCAACATCATTAGTCACTAGGGAAATGTGAATCAAAACCACAACAAGATACCACTTCATACCCTCTAGCATGGCTAGAATCAAAAAGAAAGATTAATAACATGTGACAAGGATGTGAGGAAACTGGAAGCTTCCTATACAGCTAGTGAGAATACACAATGGTACAGGCACTTTGGAAAAAACAGAGCTACTATATGACCAGTAATTACACTCCTAGATATATGCCCAAGAGAAATACAGACATATGTCCACACAAACTCCTGTATACAAATGTTCATAGCAGTATTTTAGTAACAGTTAAAAAGCAGAAACAGTCCAAATGCCCATCAGCTGATGAAAAGAGAAACAAAATGCTCTATACCTATAAAACGGAATATTAATTGGGAATAAAAAGGAGTGAGGTACTAATACATGCTACAATATGGATGTACTTTGAAAACATTATGCTAAGTGAAAGAAGCTAGTCACAAAAGAACAAATATTGTATTATTCCATTTATATAAACTGTCCATAATAAGCAAAGTTACAGAGACAGAAAGATGATTAGAGATTGCCTTGGGTGAAAGGGGTGAGGGCGAACTGGGAGTTACTGCTAATGGGTATGGGGCTTCTTTTTGGGATGATGACAATGTTCTAATATTAGATTGTGGTGATGGTTGCACAACTCTGTGAATGTACTAAAACCACTGAATTCTGTCCTTCTAATGGGTGAATTGTACGCTTTAAATAGGTGAATTGTATGGTATGTAAATCATATTGCATTAAGCTTTTAAAAAAACCTTATACACAGTGTGACCATTACAAAAGCATTCTTAAAGGTAGAAACCGTATTTCATCATCTCATGTACCTCACTTAGGGTCTACCACAAACCTGGGCATGTAATATAAGCTCTCCCAAAGTATTTGTTTCCCTTTCTCCACCTACCACAACATCCACTATACATTCTTGCACATAGTAGATGATCAATAAAGTACTGTTGCTTAATTATGTGACTTTTGCTTAGTAAACTCTTTCCTCATAGATAGTCTAAAATAAACTTGAACTCAGTAACAATATCTACAAATGCCAAATCAGTGATGAATGGCCTCACAAAATTCTCCTTTGTAAACTTTTCTTGAAGTATTGAAGTATGACTGTTGGTTAGAACAAACTTTTTAATAGAAAATATTTCTGGATATTGGTGTTACAAATGGAAACTAAGACGCTGTTTAGGCTTAACAATTTAACGTTTGCAAAATACAAGAGTTCCAAATGTATAACTTGACAGTGGAATCAAAGATGTGAACACAGTGTATGAGAGTGCAAATTTAAATCAAAAGGTTTTCCATGGTCACTTAAACAGTGAAGCCTCCACATCATTTTACTTTTACAGAAGGAAGTAGGGGCAGAAACGAGTGATTCTTTTATAAACTGTACTTTAAACAAAGCTGGAAACTATCATTCTTTCTTTCTTTTTTTTTCTTTGTTAGGAAGCTGGGGAAAAAGGGTAAGCTGCGAAAGCAGAAAGAGAGTGAAAACAAAACAAAACACACTGGTGTCACAGCATTCTCTTTTCCATATCATTTTATTAAATTGTAACGACTTTTTTCTCTAATTTTGACTCACCAAGTCTACAGAATCTACTAATGGTTGGTTTGGTTGAAATACAGAATCCTCATTTTCTTCTTCATTCTTTTTGCAAGGCATTTGTTTAGAAGGAAGCAAGTTATACCACAGAGTGAAAATCTCATTGGAAAATGGTAAATCTGCCAGGCTGATCTGAGTTCCAGCCTATGGGAAATGAAAGGAAAAAAAGAAAGAGAGAAAATAAAATGTTTAAATTCATATTTGCTCCCTCTGATATAATTAAGATTATCGGGCAAGCTTGTTTTTGGGAAAAAAATACAATACTCGTGATATAAAGCATTGGTGCATTTCTTTAAAACCTGGAGATACCTTACATTTTCAGGTGTAACTAAATAAGAAATAATCCCAATCTAAAAGCCAACCCTGGGATGATTTTGTGAGACACCATTTTGCCAAAACCTAATGACTAAGCTTGCAACTTGATAAGTGTGGAATTATTTCTAAATGAAAATTTAAAAAATAAAAATAAAAGAATAAATGACTAAGCATAAACCATAATACGTCTTATAATATGCCATAAGAGTGCTTTGATTATTACTCACAAAAACCCAGTATCCACTGAAAATTTTAAAAACAAACAAAAACTCCACTGTGCATCTTAAATGAGAAATCAGATAGCAAAATTTTTCTTTGGATAAGTTAATAGACTGTCAAAAAAAATTAAAGGTTAAAAGCTTTTACATTCCACCAAATCACACATATCGGCCAGAATCTAAATTAAACTGCACCATTTTTTAAAAGGCTATCAATTAATATATTTACTAACTTTATGGAGCTTGTGACATATACATCTATTATACTAAGCCTTTCTGACAGCCTAATGAGTCTGTTACATTTGCTTCTTTCTAACTTCCTTTATTGTCAAACAATATTATCAAATATATTTTTTCATATAAAGAAAAGGAAATATTAATAGGAAATCTATCACTCTTTCACATTTTGTTCATTGTGAAACGTGTGTTTTTGTGTTTCCTATTGGACTGTAGAGAAAAGTTCAACTAGAGACTCTTGTTTTTTGGACACATGGGCACACCTCTACATGCTCGCATCTGAACGCTTATGAACTTTGCTGGTATGTAATCGTTTTCTGGTTATTATGCACAATGGTGTGTTAAACTCACTATTGGTTATGTATGAAGTCTTCTGCTTTCGCGTTTAGACCTCACATTGCTCTAAACAACACTTGTCTTCCTAGAAGCTCTAACACCACGGCTGGGGAGAACGAGCTGGACAAAGGAGCTTAATCTAAATTTATGACAGTGACTTCTGTTGGGATGTCTTTGACATCTGGCTCCATCATTTACTAGCTGTGTGACCCTGGACACATTACTTCTCTAAGTGGTTGTCTATCTGAAAATAGAGGTAATCACACGCTTTTCATAAGATTGTCATGAGGATTAAATGAGATAATGTACACAAAGCACCCGGCACAAGAGTCATACTGGGACTAATAAACATACTCCATAGTGACAGTCATAACAAAGGACAAAGTTCTTCTTTAGCCAAATGGTAGAAAGTAGATTTTACAGAAAATCACAATTTCTAAGCAGACTTTAAAGGTCTGGAACAAGAGAATGAAAACCAGACATCACTACTTCAGATAAAACATGAAACAACCACTGGATGTGTCTGAGGCCCTCGGCAGATTAGTAGTGGTATCAGGGCTGGCAAAACAGCAACTAGAAAGTTATTCTCAGAATATCCAATCATAAGCGTGATTTGATAATGGTAATTATGAAAAATCCTACCAGGCATTCTTCCCTTCGGTGCTTACTAACAGAGCAAAGGTCTACTCTCAGCGTCTTCTGCTGTAAGGTGGTTTGGGAAATGGCCACTCTGAACATATCGTTGAATGAAATGGATTCCATGGCTGGATGGACTTTTGTTCGAAACAGACAGCTGACATCAGCTGAGGAGGGGAGTAGAGCAACCCTAAAATATCTGCGAAGAACAAGAGTGAAACGGATTTCACAGGTACTTCAATTATACTGGATTCACAGCTATTATTTGAAATTATCTGCAAAAGAGAGAAACGCAGGGAAGACGGGGTTCATTATCACCCTAAAGTTTTGCTGCCGTATGGGTCCACGCTCAGCACAGAGGCTCTGTTCTTAACCCAGCTGTGCCAACTGTGCCCCTGAGCTGCAACGGCCCAGCCTGCCGGTCACCACGGGGCTACAGCGAAGGCACATGACAGGAGAATGAAGGAAGAAAGTCCGTGGGGCAGACGAATTTCACGTCCCACCTGCCCATGTATAGCTGATTCCAAAGTAAGCTATTTCTGAGCCTGGGAAGGTAGGCACACACTAAGTAGATACTGGTGACTTTGTCCCAAAGAATACTCATCCAGAGTAATAAACAAGAGATGCTGATAGTCATTTCTCAGGAATGGAAGACATTATCTTACTAGAGAAAAAGAAAGGCTAAGTAGCATATTGTTAAAGTATAAAACAGATGAAATTTAACAGTTCAAAAATATCATTGTCTAGCATCTCAGAAGTTTCAGATATGACAAACTGAAGAGTTTATGCTTTGTAAAATTTAGAGGAAAAGTTACAGAAAAATAGTAACTTCTAATACTACTTTAAAGTGAATTTTCTGAGCACACGTTATAAGAGGACTCACAATGCTTGGAAACAGCATGAAGTATTTTCTTTTAAATCCCAGAAAGAGCACATCCATTAAATCCCTGCCCCCCATTTCCAGGCTTGTCTAATTCATACGCTAAAAGGTGCCTTTCTCCAATTATAAAAACTGCAGGACAGAGGAAGGTCATATTATTTCTGTATTTTATATCAACATTAATTATGGAGATTCAGCATTAGAAACCTAGTGGACCTTGGGCCACCACTGTTAAGGCTGGAGATTCAGCAGAAGAAATCTTTTTTCTCTGCCCTCATGGAAAAGCACTAAAAGGAAGTATTTTAGAGAGCTGGAATGGAGGGAAGGAATGTTCTTTCTCTAGACTTCAGTTTTACTCTAAAACTGAGTAACCTAACCACTTAGGCAATCCTAAAATGTTTTCCCGTGAAAAAAGTCAGGTTTTATGTGGTTCAGAGGCAAAGGCACAGGGGAAAGAAGGTAGGGGTGCTTTTCCTCTCACTCTCCTGTAGCAGGGTCCGGGGAGTCAGGAGCCACTCATGGAAACACTGTGGCTGCTGCCAACCAGCTGAAGCATAAACTCTGCTTGTCGTAATTAGTAATCAAAAATAAGTTTTGAAGTTAGGGGGAAAAAAAGAATTATTTTAAGGATATTTCATACTAGTAGTCATTTTTAACTGTCATTTTTAGGCCAAGGCTTTCACATATGGACTTAAGAACATGACGCTCTCCACCTCAGGAAGGTTCAGACCAATTAGACAAGTAATTGCACACCAGCTGGGCAGCAGAAGAGCCTGCTGTCCTCCCGGGGTGAGTACTACTATTGGACCTGAACTACACTGGCTGTCACCAAGCCTCCAGAGGGCACTCTGTTTGTGACTTCCTATGGGGTAAGTTAGAGTGGCTGAGACTGGTGTGGCCGAGGTGGAATATTCGGGTAGGCCTGCCGCTGCAACATGAGTCTACAGAGAGTGCATGTTATTGGGGAGGTCTGCAGTTTTCCCCTGGACTTGTGGGTTGGCTCTCACTGCTCATAGATTCCAACCCTGGGGGACCGGTCTTCTCCTGAAATGCCATACTAAATTTAAAAGGCTGCCAACAGCAGGCTCCAGTACCTCAGCGTATTTATTGGTAGGGAAAAGTCACAAATAATATATCAGCCAGTCTTCCCAGAATACTACTGACGGGTATTCCTAATCTCAGTCCCGGAAGCAGGATCTCTAGAGTGATCGAGCCACGCCCCCATTATGCCATCCCTCTTTACTGCTCTCGCTAATAATGTGGATCCCCCACACCTTGATTTCCCGTCCCGGAATCCTATCCCCTCCAGCATTGATGGTCATCAACACATAAACACTCATTAACTCCATTCTTCTATTGCCTACCGAACAATCTCCATCTTGCTCTTCTCTTCTTAGATCCAGTTTCTTTTCTCTGACAATTAGACTATTAGGATGTGAACTTAAAAATAAACCCAAAGGGAAAACATCCAGAACTCTTAACATTTACTCTATTAAACAGTCTCCTCATCGAGGAATATACTCTATCATTAAGGAAAACATCGACCTGCCTGGGTATAAGTCTTGGGGGTCACCCCTCAATAGCTCTCTCTTATTTCCAGGCCTGTTCTGGCTTATTCAACATATTAGTAAGTAGACATAGAGATTCTGGATTCTAAGTCAGAGGTGCTAAGTTGAAATCTGGCTTCTTTCTGGCACTCTCCAGCCACGGGCCCTTAAAAGGGTCACTGAAACTCTGACTCTGGAAAGTGTGAATGGTGGTAAAGGTCTCTAGAAATATCTGTCAGGAAACAAACAGTCCCTGAGCCACAGACTGTGAAGCAGCCCTTGGGATTCATGGTTTGATGAAGTGAAATTTAACTTTAAAAAATTACTGGTCATAGGGAAGTAAATGCTTGATGATAAAAACATGATCCTCTTACATGTAGCATGATATGATGCTTGGCAAAGTAGTACTGATAAATAAAATTTAGTCACTACATCTTCATGGAAAAGATCAGAAAATTCCTCCAAACCAACAGTAGTCACAATTGAGCAACAATGAAAATTTTAATTAAATTTAAAAAAATCAGGCCCCAACACATCATAATAATTTCTGGTTGAAAAGGGAAATAAAAAGTCTTGGTTCCTATTCTTCATAATGAATCGACTGAATTAGGATCAAAACCCAATATGCTTTTCTCACCTTCTCCTCTTCTCTTCATCTTTATCTACTGTTGATTAAGACATGAACAGCCTCGCTATGTCTTTTCCATGTCTTCATTTGGATGAGTTGCTTGACTACAATGTAAAATTATCATACGTGGACAATTTTAAGCTCCTCACTGATTTTACTTACACTTTTGAAGTATGAGGTATCAAGAAGGCATGAAGATTTCGGAGTTGTGCTATAATCACCATGAAACTTGACCTCTTTGCATCATATCTGTCAAAAGAGAAGCGGATGAAGTAAGGAAAGAGCACAGCCCACGCAGCACTGCATGGAGTTCTCGAACTGCCCCGTTCCCTGTGCACATTCCTGTACCTGAGTCCAATCTGCACCTGGGCAGTCTCCACGATGGCAACGTCCTCTTCACTGTATGTAACATCTTCAACCTCACTTGGCCTAGGGACAGGGAAACAGTAGGCATAGAGAATAGTTTATTAACGGGGATATCAACTGCTATGGTTACTATCTGCCACTTAATGATTCTGAGAGAAAACCTGAATCAACAGCACTCCTATACCACCCAGTGGGGCTGATCCCCAGGAAAGCTCACTCTTAGATCTTTCTTCACCTTGTCAAGAGAAGTCTGCCTCTGAGCCCTCAGGGTACTTTCTGATGCCTGACTTTCCTGAGCCTCCCTGGCGTATATACCACACCCTCAGACACCTTCCAGGCTTTCAGAAATATACATGAGAGGCTTCATGTGCCAAACAGGCACTGGCTAGCCACTCCAACATTCTCATCAAAATCAAGTTTTAGGTCTTAAAGACGATCAGTTTGAGTACAACGACCTGTTTATCATTTCCCTGGCTGATGGGATGTTTTGGTACACTGAAATTTTCAAGCATACCATTTCTTTAATGCCTACAGCCCTTACCACAGCAGAGTGGACTAAGGGCAGCAGTACACTCAGCCTATCACCCACAAGCACGGCTACGAGGAGACACAGCGAACAGAGAAGCACCCCTGCTGAATCCTTACTGTTTCACGAAAGCCTCGTAGACCCCGCTGTCTCCAGCCACAGACTCATCAGACACAGCAGCCGACACACAAGCGGTTTTCTCCCCAAGCAAGTGGATTACCCTTCTTTTTGGTAACGATTTTTCCACATCTAGGAAGGAGAGAGTGACAGCACTAATTAGGATTTCCTATTAGGAAAAGGTAAGTAGAAAATACATAGCCAGTTAGGTTATGAGAAATCCAAAATATATTTTTCATCTGAGAACCAAGGATCTTACTATTCAAATCAACACATGTGGATCATACAAGGTGCAGTGACTTATAAGATTCCTGGGATGTCAGTTATCTCTGTCATTATTTGAGAAAGAACATGGTCTTTCTTTGTCCTGAAATATTTTAAGGGAAGGGATGAATTGCACACATTCTCACTGGTCCCCTGCCTCCCTTTAAGCAGTCACTGCTGTTACCACACACTCGGGGTAAGAAACTGTGTGCCTCCCTCGAGTATTAGAGAAATTTCTGTAACAGACAGCTTCCAGCTAGTCAATGCAAGAGAGGTTCCCACCTCTTTTGCTCTCTGCTTCTCTCCACAGGCCAAATGCTACATCCTCTGTGCTGCTCCCTTAATAGAAGTTAAAGAAAAACAGTCTTTGACTTACAGAATTCCTCACCAGCTAATACCATTAAAAAAAAACTCTGTGCTGCTGAATCTTTCGCACCAACTACCACTTAACTTTTATCTCTAGCTCATATTCATACACCAGCTTCCTGCAGTGAGCAAGTAGCATTCATTGACAGCCGTCTTTCTCTGTCCTCAGCTGCCAGCCTGTGGACCCGTGGAGTCCTTTCATCCAGAGCAGCGAGCAGGGAGCAGCATTGGTATGCATTTCGCCCCCCTTCTGATCCGTGACTTTACATCTTGTTAAGATGTTTAAGTTTTAAGGCTTCAGATTACAGGATTGATTGCTGCATTTTCCCTTTTATTTCTGGCAGTGGGAATGCTTTTTCCTTGATGATGAAGTGCCTTCTCTCCGCCCACCCCTCTTTGTGAGGGGTGAAGGTGATGACATGATTTATTGATTACCCCCAGGAATAACCACAGCAGCCTGAAATTGACTTTGACAATGACAGAGACTGACTGTGGAAGGACTTCGTAGTGATTCCAACTTGGTTTCCGTCATCCAGCAGGGATCGGGGCTGGAGAGTAAAATGTATATAAAAGGAACTTGACTTTATCTGCATAAGGGTCTAGAGCACTGAGGGAGATGAACAGTGTCGCTACCATGAGCCACACACCCCCCCACGTGACATCAGGTCAGCCATCCCCTGAATAGACCAAGCGTTGGTGACCTAACCTGAAGAGAATTAGTCTTTACGCTTAAATATATGTTTTCACACATGAAATTGAATATTACTTGCAAACAAAGCTCTCAGATATATTTTCCCATAGGGTGACTTTTTAACAGCGGTTTCTAATATAATATGCATTTAAAAGGTTAAAAGCCATTTCACCTGGAGACACTGGTCTCCAGGCAGAGACTTCTCAGACAGACCCAGGAGCAGACCCAAGGGTCTGGAATGAGGTGACGGCCAGGCAGGGACGCTGCAGGAAGGCGCTTTAGCGCTGCAGGCCGGCCAGGCGGGGACGGGCCTTGGGCGATCTTCCCGTGATCTTCCCCCTGCTCCAGCATCCGGCCTCATTTAATGGCCCCTCCAAACTGACTGAATGTGGAGAAGTGGTCACTAGGGAACACTCCAAACACATGAAGAGCAAAACAGCAGTGAAATGCTCAAGAAATGTAGGATCCTTCAAGTCCAAAGCACAGGAGAACGGCACAGAACCACTCCACTTTCTTCTCTCTCTGGTTCTTTCCTCCTTTCAGAAACTTCAACGGTTTGTGGCAGAAACTGTTTAGCAGAGTTTGTGTTACTTATTGCCCTCAGGTAATAATAATAACCATGAGCTGAGTGCCGAGCCCAGGCGCCGTCAGATGCTTTAGGCGTACTGTGGTTCTAATCCTCCCAGGGCCCTACGAGGTAGAACTGCATCATCCCCGCTTTGCAGATGAGCGACAACAAGCCCGAGAGACCAGGTAATGTGCTCTCCAGAACACAGCCTGCCAATGGGGCAACCAAAACGCAAATGCAGGCCCGGCTGGCTCCAGGGGCGCAGCGCACTACACCACACACTGCACTCCTTCCTGCAGGCAGAGGGGAGGCCCCCAGCAGGCTTCTGCGTTCTTGAAGCCATTCAGTAAACACCATCCCTGTGCTTGCTTTCTTCGTGGTTCACTATCTCAGTAACATGTTACTTGCAGCTCTGACACCCGCCAGGCGGCGGCACACGAGCCACACAGATGCCTCCTGCCTCTGCTCTGCCCCAGGCCGCTGGCAGGCGGTGCTTCAGTCTTCAGTATTTGAAACCACACAAACAACACAGATTCATCTCTCTCTTCGAACATCTGAATTGGCCAATCAATTAATACTTAGAATTCCTAGGGCCATAAATACAAAACAAATATGCTTCTCTAAATAGCAAGAACATACTACCAAAGAGGCCCGCCCGCTCTGTGCTATGGACGCACAGTGCAGATCTGAGCAGGGAGGGCTCTGGCCCAGCACTGGAGCTTTTGTTTCCCATTTTGTTCGGGCTAGCTCTCCAACAGATCACCCTCTTCGGACCAGAACTGTGACCATTTGCCAACAAGGGTGCCATCTTGTTCTCTTCACAACTACATCTAATATAGTAAAAGCTTCTGTTTTGCAAAGTAAAACAATCACAAAAAAATTAAATTCTCCCTCTGTTTCTGTCTGAGTACAAAGGCAGGAGTGAAAACTCACTCCCCCACACTCTTTCCCGGGCTGCAACTAGCAATGCAGCCAGAAGATGGCAGGGTAGGACTATACACGGGAACCAGCAGAGCGGGCGAGTCTGGCATGAAACAAAAATTGTATTTATATAGAATTCCCTGAGCAACCTAAACACTGAACCCTGGTACTAATTAGCTGGTATGCTAATTGCCTTGGTGTTAATCTGTTTTAGACCAACTTTTAAAAGAAAGCCCTTTTCTTTGCCTTGCTATTTCAGAACCAGGATCATTTTGGAAGCGTGAAGTGTGTTCACAAAATATGTTCCGAGTCAGCTGCCATACACAGCAGGTTTCTGGGCAATGGAACAGATACTTAATAATTAAATCTATTAAATAGGGAAGGCAATTTTTATTTGATAAAGAAAAAATGTCTAGGTATATCAATAAAAACTCCATCTCAAAGCCACAATGAATAGGCAGCAGACAGAGAAGGGGGAGTAGTACCATTTGTTTATATGGAAACCAAGTCACCCTCCAATCATTCTCCTTAAAGTAATTAAGAGGAAATACATGAAAGCAAAGGTCCCCATTACCTGTAGTTCCTTCATATAGCGGCCCCCTAGCACATTCGCTGAGGTCTTTATCTTCTAAAAGAGACTCGGACGCTCCACCTGAGTCAGTATCCAGCAATATCTGACTGTCACCGAGGCCAATGTCTGCAAAATGGCTACTCAATTCACAGTCTTCAAAGTCAGCAGTGAACTGATGGAGAGGGACGTCATGAGACGCCGTGGGAAATGTGCCTTCCAAGACCAAGGGAGAGCCAGGAGGGGACAAGGAGGAAAGGGAGGACCTTGAGGACAGGGATGTCACAGACTTGGGGGCCTCGGTCAGGGGGGGTGTGTGGCCCGTTGCTGCAGCTGCTGCCCCACAGGGACCACTCTGGCCAGGCTGGCTAGGGGACTTAACCACTTCGTTTTCATGGATGGTGGTGATGGGTCCAGAAGGAATGTAACCACCTTTCTCCTGCAGAAGGAAGTCCAGTTTATACTGATAATCCGCATCTATCTGGTCGCCTTGACTGCTGTAATAGAGCTCACTGGAACTGAGGGAATTGAGTGACCCTCTGCTGGAGGTGTTCAGAGACCCCCGACTGGAGGCCAGGGAACCCAGGCTGCTCCCAGAGGACATGGACAGGGTGCTGGCAGAGAGGCTGAGAGAAGAAAAGCACACATTGTAAAAAACTGGTATGACATGGAAAACCCAAGCACAACCCCTGCATTGCACCCCCGAGGGAAGGGACCCAGTGACGTCAAAGAACATAATCAATGAAGGGGAAAAGGAAGCTGCTATTATACCACATACCTCATGTGTATTCATGAACATTATCAACCTGGCTCTCTAAATACTCCTGAAGCAGCAATCCTACTCTTATTTAAGAATCATCCCCCTTTTGCAAAAGTTAAAAAAAAATGGGGGGGGTGGGGGGATTAAATACCTATTGATAAATCTACCTGAATGGGTATCCAGAAGCAACTGTGCAATTTACAAATATAGAAGTGGGGGAGCTGGAAACAGAACAGCGTTAATGCAGTTACTTTGCTTCAAGAATAAAACTTTTTATTTTGATAGGAAAAAAGACAAGCTTACAAAGATAGAGGTTACTCAAAGACTCCTGGGCTCACTGATCTTTCCTCTTCTGTGTGTATTTAAGGAGTGAGTATGTGGCTATTTTAAGGCAAATTTCCTCCACTCTCGCTTTTTAAAAAAAGGGGTGATGTGGAGAAATGCCTCATTTTCCTAAGTACGTAACACGAGCTAAAATATACCTTCTTCCCACAACATATTTCAGACGTGTTCCAAATATGACCTTGGGGTTCATGAAAAAAAAGTCTACGTAACTTTAAATCTGTTCATCTAAGTTTTAATTGTATTAGCATAACTATTAATTACTTTTAAATAGTTGAAAATAAAGAGAAAAGTAATCAAAGATGAACTAAAACCCGCCTGAATGTAGTCAATAAAAATTTTCCCCTCAAGAACCAAACAGGCTTACCTTTTAAGTTGTGAATGCAAATAAGTAGTTAATTTAGTAGTTTCTTCAAGTTTCTGTAGCAGCTCTTTTCTTCGCTCTTCCAATTTCAATCTAGGAAAACAAAAGAAATGGATATATTTTCATATGATTACAATAAAGCATGGAAACTGAAGGAAAAGAAAAGAAAGATTCTTATCACACAATGTTCTGTACCATGAGGGGGAAATCCAAATGAACTCGATGGAGGGAAAACAGAACGACCAGCAAGAAGCCACACCAGCAGAACCGCCCACAGCCAGGCTAAACGAGGCGGGAGATCTATACCACAACTCCAACGTTACCGAGAGTGTTTCAAATTTTGGTATTCCAAAATTTCCTTCAATGGGTAAAAAACCTCATGCTCTTGTGAGTTAGGGAAAGAGTGAGGAAGAAAACAACAAAAAACTAACAAAGATCACAGAATCCTCCTACAGGCCTGTGAGTTGGGTTTATGTTATGAAAACATTTGACAGTAATAACAGAGAATTAGAAAAGACCATCCTAAGTACTGAATTTGGTAAGGACTGTTCCTCAATAATATTTAGTGATAAAAATTCCAATCTTAATTTGATGAGAATTTTAGCGATTAAGAAACAAATTAGTCCATATTGCCAGTGTGAGCTAATTTGGGCTTAACTATTTAAGCAAGAAAAAATCATAAAAGTGACTTCTTTTCCTATCTACAGCACATCTCATCACCTGCACCAGATTATCACGAAATTTCATCCACTTGTATTCAGTTGAATAAGCGTTTATGAGGTTTCTTAAAAATCTGAGTATTATGGAATTGTGTACTTGAAAAAGTCACTTAAAAATACATCAAGCACCCAGAAGTTTCTGCAATGAAGAGCCTGCAGGAGGACTGTCTATGTCATCTCAAGGTCTGTAGACATCATTGCAATGAGCTCATTTAGAATGGTCAACGAGCAGCAGAAGGAGACCCAGAAAACCACCCCGGTCTCCAGTCTTGGATTTGCTGCTCACTTATCTGTGTGTCCTTAGGCAAGGCCCTTCAACAAGGGTCTCAGCTTTCCCATCTGTAAAATGGCGATTATAATCCTACTGCGTCTGCCTGCAGAGGCTGCTAAAGGGACCAAATGGAGGAATGCATGAGAAAGTGCTCTGCAGACATCAAAACAAATCTCACTTGTTCAGAGCCTCAGCATGCCCTGCAAGGTGGTGCCATAAAAACTAGCTACTTTTCTTTGGAGAAAGAGAAAATTTCCCACCCCTTTGAAATGTTGTGTACTTTAGGCCGTAAGGAAACATGCCCATATTTTATTTATAGGTATCTTTCCTTTGATGTATCACCAACACAATTTCATTATATGTTAAAATAAGAAAAGTAATTCTTGTCATTTTGTTTGGTACTTCAAAGAGTGATAAATTCTTAATTCACAGCTTTCAAAGGTGTATTTTGAAAAGGAACACAGTCCCTATTTTTTTAATCTCTTAAATATAAACAAAAACTCAACAAGGAAAAATATTAATACAAAGTAGATAAACTGAATTAGAAGATATATAAAGGGGTGGAGAAAGCCTAAAAATCTACTAAAATCCATGTCTTCTGAAACAACAGGAAAAGCATTTTTTAAGTTTTAAAACTAAATATTGCACAAACGAAGGCTTTTCTGGTGTGTTAAGGAGACTTCAGTATGACATTAGTGTGTTTTATGCTGAAGTTTAGAATCCCATCCCAGTCACAAGCAATGGTCCCCCCTGGGACCTGGGCCCTCCTCTGGCCGACTGCTCAGGCGCTGCCCTGTGGCCCCTTCATGGTCACTTTGAATTCCTAGGGCCTGGCTCTTGGGTTCTTATTCGAATGTTCCCTGGTCAGATCCTAAGCTCCCAGCGGGCAGCCATCAGCTCTTTCTCCCTCTTCTACCCAGGCTGCCTGAAGAGCCTGGGCCCGTCCCCTGCAGCCCTTCTTGGCGCGTGTCTAGATAACACCTTCACTGGGAGAAGCATAGTGAAGGCACTGGGAGGGTCACAGAAACCCTTCCGGCGGGGCAGCTGTCGCTGTCCTTGGTCATGTGTCTCGCTCCTGGCTCTGATGGAACCAGTAAGGCCTCTCCTAGCGGGAGCTGAAGTCTGCCTCAGGTTCCAGGTGTTCACGGTGAGAGGCGACCTCCCCCCTTCCCCTGGACCAGGGATGAGAAGAACTTGCTCAGACATCAGCCCTTCAAGAGCTGTCTCTCTAAGCCCTTCTCCAATCTCTATCCTTCTCGTCCTCCTGGGTGAGCAAGGAACTTTCCAACCAGGCCCCTAGAAGACTCATCCCACTCGTCCTGCTGCCCCCACACCTTCCTTCGGCTGCCCTTTGCAAGAGCAGGGCAGGGCCTTCACGCCCTCCTCCCTCTGCGGTTGGTACCCTAAGAGAGAGAAGCACTGCCCACTCCCTCCTGATTCAGACCACCCAGAACTTTCCACCCAGGGAAAATTTCATGTCATCTATAGAAATAAGAAGTTCCTTTTCCATTAAAAAATAAATGACATGCAAATCACTACCCACTCGCTTTAAAGTTTTTTTCAGAATCAGTGGCAAAAACATTCACATAATTAAAAAACAATTAAGACACCTTAGCAAGATGTAAGACAAAACCCCTAAGATTTGTGAGAAAATAAAGAGCAATGTTAAGATCTTATCAGCTATAGAAAAGCAGAGAGCTAAGGAACTTCAATAACTGCATGGAAAGAATACGAAAGATGTGTAAAAAGTCCTACACCGCATGACTGTTTCTCATCCGAGAGCCATTTCCCTTGGCTGATGATCCCCCATAAGGAGCCGCTCTCCCTTCTCCATGCACTTTACGACCAGTAGGTGGCGAGCTCAGTCACCGCTCCCTGGTGAGCAGACAACATCGCAGGACAGGGCCAGCAGGCACACGGCTGGGGAACTCTAGGATCATACAGTGGCTGAAAATTCATGTGGGTTTAGCTCCTTCAGAAACCAAAATTCAGTAATGACTCAGGATCTTGCCTGAGGCCACCGCTGAAGAAACCAATATAATGGAAAACAAGAAAATTTGGGGGAATACAGCAAGTGGCTTCCTTGAGAGTTGCGTAGGTACCAAGAAGAAATTGAGAGATTTGGTGTCGGTGAAGCACAATTTGTCCTATGATGAAACCAAGTTTTATGTGGTGAATCCTATTTCCCAGAAGTGTCTCCCATACCACCTGCTCTGACACTGAGGAAATACACGGCTTGCAGGGGTATCGTATTCTCTTGCCTTCTGAGGCATCTTGTTTCAGTTCAACGGCAAAAGTAAGCAAAGCAGAAATATACACATGTAGTAGGAAGAAATAATGAAGGGTGAAGGATAAGAAAAAGGTGAGGGTATGAGGGGGAGTAAAGTAAAACCATTAACAACAACAACAACAACAAACCCCAAAGGCATACTATGTTGCATCTACTTGGGAAATAGAGGACCCAGCAATCACTTCCACAGATGGCTCTGCTCTGTGGACACGTTAAATACTGGGGTGTTTTGCATCCAAGGATAGCAGGGAGAAAACCTTAAGTTGCTCAAGCAAGAAAGTATAAGCCCCTCAACCTTACACTACAGCATAATTATGGGGATTTGCTTTTGGCCATGGACAACGGAAAGGAAATTAGTATTCATTTTTTGTAATGCTAAATGACTCTTCCAAATGACTTGGAAAGTCAGCATATTACAAATGTAAAACATACACATTTCACCTCCTGCTAACATCCAGTCGTGGGAGACAGGGCCATCCAGGAACCATAAATTAGAGGGATATCAAACCACTCACTCCCCAACAGACCCCAAACCCCATGGCAGGATCTCACTCAATAGATATCTATTTTATAGCTCGTCTTCCTGACGAGTCAAACCTACTGTTTCTGCTGGAATTGTGACAGGTATTATGTGTGTGCGCACAGAAGTACAAAAGCCAAAGTTTAGGCACTGAGGAACAAACTATTTTTCATGTTACTTCGTTCTCATTTTGCAGCTCTAGCCCTAATACAAAAGACAACAAGACAGTACGCCTGTAAAAGCTGATCAAAAAAACAAACAAATCAACAAACGTCTGTTTGCTCTCTCTCCCAGAACAAATCTCAAGTCTGTTCACAGGCCCTTCCCAGAGTCCATACTCCAAAGAAGAAAGCTGAGATAGACTCAGCACCGTAGACATGTGTGATTATATGTCATTTATTAACTGCTACGTAATATACAAAATATCACTGGTGTTTCATTCGTGGGCCACACAAAGCTGCCCATTTAATCATATTTACTGATGATTATCAAACTTTTATCCTAGAAATTTAAGATACACAAACACAGACCCTGACGACATTGAGGCAGTTCAGGAAAACAACGGAATGCTGCCTTTTCACCCTGACTTTTTGCTCCTTTCGGTCTTTGTGGGATGGACCCCTCCCTGGCCAGCCTTGCTCACACCTACCTTTAGCTGAGCGTTCAAGCAGCACCACTAGACAAGGATGTCAGAGCAGGAGGGGAAGGAAAGAAGGGGCAGGCGGGGCGACGTGAATACTGAGGATGGTAGGAGAATGTAACCTGCAGAGGCTTCTCTGCCTGAGACTTTTTCAGGCTCCCTAAAGCTGTGATGCTGCAGCTATGCATCATCTCGATCAACATTTTAACTCATAGAAGTCAACTCTCCGTAGATGGTCACACTCAGGGCAGGCAAGTCCATGTGCTACCACCACCCAGGAATGCTGAAGTTCTTTCCCTCCCCCTGGCCCCCACCTACACTTTTCAAATATTTTGATATTATGTAGATACACAACCTTAAACATTATAGAGGACGAGGAATTAGAAGGCAAGAAGCCAAGAAGTTAAAAAAGAAAAAATAAAAGCAATGGATTGTGGCTGGGTATTCTAAACTTACTTCCAGGTCACTTGGAATTATACAAATGTGAATTTCTGTCCCGTCATCCTGGGACAGGCACTGCTGCTCACTTGCTGGCCTAAAGGATGGATGTCCCGTGGTTCTAAAGGACTACCCCATCTACGGCTGAGACAGGTCCGCCCATATCAGTCAGCAAGGCCTGGACTCAGGGCTCCAAACTGACACACAGCCGTTCCCCGGCTCAATATTCCAGCTGCTCTGCCTACACAACTGGATTTTTCAGATTAAATGATCAAGTTACACCTTCCCCCAGAAAGATCAGGAATTGCTGAAAGCATTTTTCTTTACATTTTCACCTACGGCAGAGGAGGGTTTCAACTGACAAACAAAAACCCAAGTGAACACTGTGTGACCTGTTACGATATCAAAGGGAGCAAGTTGTCTTTTCCTCATGAAATGAAAAGCAATAAACTTTTGCATTCCTGTGAGTAATAAAACCCAGAATAGGAAGCTTCAGTTGCCGTAACAGTCCAGACAATCTTTCTTATCAGAGTACAACGGTTGGTTTATAGCTATTGTTATCAGCCTCGGTCAATGATGTACTCCATTCCTGGTTTTAAGTCAACATTCCTTAGTTAGTCAACATCTGTCACCTGTCACTGGCATTTTCACGTTCCTCACACACACGGAAGAGCGGACACTGAGGGACACTGGGAGGGTAAGTCCTTTGTGCTGGTCCTCAGTCCGCTGAGAAGAGATGCCACTGAGATTTCCAGACCCAGGAGAACTGGCCTCCAGGCACAGCTAAGGCACACCCACCAGGTTTAAGCAGTCCTGTCCCAGGGTGGACACGAACCTCTCGGCCAGAGCCCGGCTCGGGGCGCCCCTCACCGACAGCAGCTCCTCCTCCAGCCGCTGCCTTTCGGCCTCCAGGTGCTCCAGTTCATCTTGAGTGCGTTTCTGCGGAGTGACGAACTGAAGCTCCTTCAAAAGTTCTTCTTTCTCATTCATCAGCAGCAGTTTCTCCTTCTCAACATCCAGCGCCCCCGGCCAGGCCTCACTGTCCAATTTCGACAATTCAATTTTTAAGTTGGCCATACTAAAACAAAGAGATAAAAGAGGCGTGCACATACTTAGAACTACCAAGAGCAGGAAAACACAAACCGGGCTAAGTTTGGGGTGTACGTGCTGCCTCTCCCCAGTGAGCCTCCCCAGAGAGGGGTGTGATCGCCTGGAAGGAGGCAGAGTAAAGCAGCAGCCTCGGGCTCCAATCTGGGCCTGACTCTACACTCAGTTGTCACCTGTGTCACTTTCCCCACCTTTAAAATATGAGGAAGCACACCTACCTACCTGAAAAAAGGGCGAAGGTCAAAGTACACAGAGGCTTGGAAAGCAGAGTGCTCCGGGAGCCATGGGCAGGCCAGCCTGACGAGTGACTGCCCGTGAGGGGGGACAGGAGGGGACCTGGAGGGCTTCCGTTTAAAGAAAACCAAGGTGAACGATGCCTGAAATGCCATTATTACAGATTTTGTTCCTCTAGGTAACGACGCTGTCCTCTGGTAAAATGGTTGTCCCCAGGGTAGGCTGGGCAGCAGCCAGGACATCAGCCAGTCAGGGAGGGAAGAGGGAGAAAGGGGAGCGGCGGCTGGGCCCACCGGTAATAAAACAACGTCAACACACCAAGGCTCCACCACCGGCGCCCAGGAACAGGGGGCAGGGCTTGGCTTCCTCACCCTCGCTCTCCTCCAGCTGTGCACTGTGAGGTGTCTTCCCTCTCAGGGCCTGGACTGGTGTCTACACCATTTACTGAGCTCACTGAGCCGGCACTGTAGACATTATTGCATTCGACCTGGTTTTCCTCTGCATTCTGTTATCTGGCTGCACAAGAGCAGGCAGCGCTGGTGGGCCTTCCTCAGCACAGGCAGCTGAAGCGGCGCCACTAGAGTGACAACAGGTGCTGAAATCAGCGGGGCGGGGAGGGAGGAGGAGGAAAAAGTAGCAAAGGAAACCTCGCTGGTTTCATAATGGCACCTGACCCCAGATTTCACTACGTCCAGAGCTTCGTACTAAACGGTTAAGTTAAAGCTAACTCCTGATTCAATAAGAATGTCTGGACCAAATAACTTGCTCTTGGCACTGTGAGGACAATCAGGATTGTTCACAAGGTGAACGGCACGCGGCTGTTTCGGCCATAAGCGCAAGATCAAGGTAAACCGTGAACACAACTGACGCGGGCACAAGGAACCCATGCTCCTAGTAAAAAAAAATGCTGGACGACTACTTTGGATATTGTTACAGCACACACAGGAACACAAAAAACACAGAAAGGGGGCAATTTTTTTTCCTTTTTGATGGAAGAAGTTGTAGAAGGGAAGAAAGTATGCGAACAAAACCGTTATCAGGACAGTGACGGAGGTAGTTCCACATTCGTGTGTCATAAGTTTCTTGTTTTAGTTACAAATAAAATCACCGTCCTAAACCGGCACTGCGTATACAATGTGCTTCTGGCTGTCGCCCGCTGTCTGCACTTACGGTAGATGCAACATCAGCTGTTCCTCAGCTTGAACCACAAACCCATAAACAACTGTCTCAACGTGCTGGAAAATTAATCATCGAATTGCTAAATAAGCGTGATATCATTAGCTTCATTAAGCACAAAAAACAAGGGCTGGAGGAGAAAACAGGTTTCAGAGAAACAAAACCCGCCTCTTTACTTGTTCAGGATCGAGGAAGAGAAAGCATTTTCAACATACACATAAACCCTTGAGATTTACTTTCTCATCAGCACCGCCAGTAACTCTCAAATAAAACCCTCAACGGTAAAAGAACAGCAATGCAACCAAATGGCAAGGAACCAGCGTCTTAGGTTTGCATGTGACTGAGTTAACCAACTGAAATGGGAGCGACAAGGTAAGGAAGGAGAGAAAGGCAGCTATTACTGAGTGTGACCAGCCATCAGGTAGGTGTTGAATTGTATTTGGAAAGGGCGCACCAAACCTGGGGAACAAAATGTAAAGATTTCTGGGAACACCAAGGAAGAGAAATGCTACGTGAGCTCCCAACGGACTGAACTGTTAGAAGACCAAGTAAAGCAAGAGATCAAGCTGGGGCCGGCCCAGTGGCTAGTGGTTCAGTTCACGCACTCCACTTCAGTGGCCCGGGGTTCACAGGTTCAGAGCCCAGGCGCGGACCTACACCCTGCTTGTCGAGCCATGCTGTGACAGGTGTCCCACATATAAAGTAGAGGAAGGTGGGCACGGATGCTAGCTCAGAGACCATCTTCCTCACAAAAAAAAAACAAAACAAAAACTCAAGCTGATCCAGGGGAAGTTGAGTAAGCCCCAAAGAACCCAGGGGCATGGGGCCTGGCTCTCCAAGATGCATTCTGAGTGATGGCCATTCTCCTTCGGAGAACCAGACACAAATCCTGGGGTTTGGTTTACAGCAGAACCCAGGAGCTCCGGCTGCTGAAGGGCTGGCGCACTCACAGCCAGAGGGGCCGTGAACAGCAGCCCGCAGGGGCTTCCACGTCCCGGGCCACAAAACCACAAAGCAATCCTCAATCCTTACTGAGGGCAAGGCACTAGCCTGGGCACTGAGAAGCAGACAATAAAAGTATACAAAATTTTTCCTAACCTCAAGCAATTTACAATCTACCTGGGAAAATTTATAGGCTTTAAAATGAGCTGAGTAAAATGTTGTTCCGAGAGACTGGGCAACTTGCTCAAGCTCACGTGGTTAATAAATTGTGGAGCACAGTCTAGGGTTCTTTCAGTAAATCAAAGAACCAAGTAATATTAGTAGCAGAGGCTACAGAGAGGCAAATATTGTATTTAGGCAGATCAAATAATTACTTTGCTAAAGCCAGATAACCTGTAAGAACTCTGGCCAATTACTTTTAAATTATCATCACCAGTAATAATGGATATACTTCAGTATCTGTCCTTATGGTAGGAAACCATGACACTCTAGCAGGCTCTCAGCTGAGCTCTTCATGCTCATGGGGAGGAACAGGATAAATTCCTCTGGCCCCTGGAAGGTGATAAGGCAGTGTTGCCCCCAGAGTCTTCCTAAATGATACATCAACAGCATTTTTAAACTCTTAAAAGGAAAATAGTGAAATCACATGTATCAGTATGACCTTCTCCCTCAAAATAAGCAAAGAGTCCTATATTACGAAAACCAGTTGAGACTGCCTATCAGATAAGGACGGTGAAGTCTCCTAAGCTCTTACCCAAGCAGAACCACAAGGTAAGTAAAAGACACCCAGCACAGGGTTTAATAGGAGTTTAGGAGGTAAAGGAAAGAAATAAGAATCTCCCTTCCTTCTCCCTGAAGTAAGTCACTGGCATAGACACTCCTGCATCTTCCAGCACATTAGCAGGAGGTCTTCTCTTCAAAGCAAAGGAACATGCTTAAAGCTATTTACCTTAGAACTCATCAACTGCTGTCAAGTCCTGAGCCACTGCATCATGTTTCTATCTGAGAAAGCAACCTCGCTTTGAGTTGTAAGTATCATACAAGCTCACAGCTTGCTTCTTCCAGAAAAGAAGGGGACAATTTCATTCCCACACTTCTCATCAACTCTTCTTGTTCTTCAGCTTTGAGGGGAGGGGGAAAGGAAGAGACAGGAGCAGAGAGGGGACTTCGCAAACCTTACAGTCTAAAAAACGGAAGGGTAACCTTGGTAAGGACATGTGGGGAGTGCCCAGCAGATGTCATTCTAGGAGTAAAGATTAATTCTGGAAAAGAAAATCCTGCTGAAGCCCGCTGACCACTGAACAAACAGCTCCCCTGGCGTTACCTTCTTTTGGCTTCTTCGTACTGTAGGCTCAGCCTGACCTTTTCAGCTAAATTTGATCTACTTCTGATTCCAATCTGGTAAAAAACAAAAAGGAAAAAGTCAATTAACTCTGCTAATGAACGAAGGTAAACTGCTTTTGTTTCTAGGAAGTACAAGTAATTGAAAAGCTAAAGAAGATGGAACTGAAATTGGGAACACCAGTTGAAAAAGGCACTTACTTTATAGTCTCAGTAGGGGTAAACCATTTCTTTTTAATTCAAGCTTGTCTGTTTTTCAAAGACTTTAGCATCATTTTCTCCACACGTTAATTTCAAGATAAAAAATATCAAGTAAATGTTTCTAGTTTCTAAGAGTTTATGAGGGGTGTACAGGTCAATAAAATTTATGAACTGGAACTAATTTCCTTGTCTCTATGAGCCAAAGTTTCCATCATTTAGCTTTCAAATGCCTAAAATATAAACTAAATAACTCCAAGAAATAATTTTTCAACCATGTTAAGATCTACTGTTGATCTCTACCCCGTTTTAACTTTCAAAGCACAGAATTCAAAGAAGCATTAGAGAATACAAAAATAACTGGGAACTTACTAAAAAGTAAAGATCTGCTAATGGTCCCAAAACGGAAGAACGTGAAATAGTTAACAATATTTAAGCGACAATAAATATTTTTGAATGCCAGGTATAAAACACAAACTAAACATTTTAATATAATCAACTTCAGATTTACAAAAACAAGTTTTTTTGTTACTTTTTAAAGGCATATATTTACGCTTCTCATTAGCCTTAATGTTTATTTGAAAGGACCTAAATTTCCAAGACTCTAAACTTAACAGGAAAAACAAATTCTCATGTGTCTCTAGCCTCCCCATAGTGTCTCTGAATAAACACAGTATGAGAAAGTTTGAACAAAGCTATTCATATGGACAAATCCTGATATGCTTGGCACCTAGCCAGAAAAGGTGAGGCTATGATTTTTAAAACCAATCTTATGAGCATGAATACTGAATGCACGCTGCTGGAATTCAAACCACCTACCCAGCTCCTGTTCCCTTTGCCACCCATATTGCAATTAAGGCCCATCAAGACCAGAGCTGGGGCCAACTCTTCCACATGAATAACTTACATCTCCGGAAATGCTTGTTTGTGACCCGGCATCAAGGGTCTGTCTGGAGAGAGATAAATGAGAGTTCACAGAACTGGATCTCAAGTCAGGTTCAGATCTGCCCATGCTCTGATCCAAATGAAACCGCTCCTGCAGCTTAGCAAGACTCTGTTCAGGAAATACAAAGTACTTCATAAACATTTAAGAGGGCAAAACTTCCCCACTAGGTAAAATTAAATTGAAAGAGCTAATCTCAATGGAAAAAACAATTATTTTAGAAGGTACTTACCACTTTAAATTATTGAAAAAATAAGAATATAATTTTGCACATACGCATGACTTTGGAAGTATGTGAGATCATATTAAACAGGTTTTCTTACCTCTCCCAAGACAGCTTGGGAATTATTCACTCTGTGAATAATGGTATCTTGATATTTAATACATGCATTTCTTATTTTTAAAATTTCATTAACAAGAAATCTCTATTTTAATAAGAACTACTCACTTTATGCAGTAGAAATTATGGAAACATGGAACACCTATAATGCAATCTCCTTTCAGATATGGCAAGAAAACTTTCTACTTAGACGACGTCTACGATTGTGCGATTTTACATCTGGATGGGACCTAAGAGATTATTTAGCTCACATTAATGTTAGAGGTTAGGAAACTGAAGCCCAGAAGTTGCAGTACTGGCAGTCAATCTGAGCCCGTGCGTACCTCGATTAGCATGGTACTGCCTGTAGTGATCCGTTTGGTTTGGTAAAGTGAATAATCAAGAGTGAACGTGCCTACTGTCGGCACCCAGGTTTAATATAACGAGTTTACTTTAGAGGGAGGATGTGAGTAGGTGAGATAAAAGGGAAAATCTTATCTAAATTGCTACCAAAAAAACCCCCCTATAAAACACTAATAAAAATGGTAAGAAACTCATTATTATCAACTTCAAGAAGAGCCAGAATTTAATTCTGATATTTACAATTCTCATGATAAGGAATTAGAAATATCAGAGATCTGATATTGGTTTTTTACCTAACCTTCTTTATTTTCTTTCAAAGGGGTATTATTACAAAAATGTATATACACGAGGGATAAAATTAAATGGTCACATCAAACAATACATTATAGAAAAGAAACCTTTAGCAACCGTAGGCAAGTCTTTTCTATTTTTTCATCTGTATAGTGAAAAGATTAGTATTTTTCATACCTTTCTGTGATGACAATGCACTCAATCAATTTAGTAGGTCATGACTAGTATGTTCTTTAATGAAACAGAAGAGACTAGAAAATGAAACCAGAGTACACTACTAGTATTAAGAGCAGGCAAATTTCTGTGAAATTTGGTGTGTGTGTGTGTACGTGTATCTACAGATAAAGACATTTGTGTATTATTGAGTTTTGATGTAAAATATACGTCTTACTGTGCGTCATGGTCAAAGGTTTGAAAGTCAAGAAGATATCTAATATGTCCCTCCCAGCTCTATTGTTGATTTCTGTATCTACTAATTATTTTATATACTTTGGTAATCGAAAAGGAATCTAATCTTTTAATTTAACCTGGCCTGTGTATAAATCCAAAGTTTACAGGAAGAATCAAAGATGACCTAAAATTGGTGATTTATGACGTTCCAAAGTAAATTTGTTCAAGTTCCATTAACTTTTTTCAAAGGACCTACTATATACATTTCAGGAATTACTGATTTAATCAGCAGGATTATTGTGGAACAAAACCAAAATATCGAAGTTAAGTTTTGTATTTGTTAGAACCACAGACAGTCATGCACCACATAATGACGTTTCAGTCAATAAGGGACCGCATATACAACAGTGGTTCCATATAGGTGTAGTAGGCTAGGTTTGTGTAAGCACACGCTATGATGTTCGCATAACGACAAAATCGCTGTAAAGCAATGCATGACTGTATTCTGGAGCAAGATTGCCTAGGTTTGAACCCAGTCCTGCCACTTACCAGCTGTGTGACTTTAAGTTACTTAACTTTTCTGTACTGCAATTTCCTTGTCTGTAAGTTGAGGATAATAACAGTTCTTTAGGGTTGTTGTGAGAATTAAATGAACTATTTCTATGCAAGGCAAGCAGAAGACTGCCTGGCACAGTCAGTACTTATAATATATTTGCTATTATTACTGCTATCTTTTCTATTCGATCTCTTCTTGCAAGTTATTTAAAAATTCCTCAAATGCCAAATTATGTGGGTTCAAGAATGTTTACCTATATTCAACTAGCATTTTGAAAACTGAAATGAAGTAACTGAATATTGTATTTAAATGTAGAGGTTCTATTAAGAATGCACATATCACCATTGGCTCTAACATTTTCCCAAAGACACAGACTAAAATCTTAGCTAGGTAAAGAACTCCAAATATCTGAAATACAAAGAATTCTCAGTGCTTGAGATAATTATAGGCTGGAGGGAAGGGAAGAAGAGGAAGAGATACACTCTTAAAAAACTGACTGTAGGGGGCCGGCCCGGTGGCATAGCAGTTAAGGTTGCATGCTCCACTTCAGCGGCCCGGGGTTCACAGGGTTCGGATCCCAGGCACGGACCTACACACCACTTGTCAAGCCATGCTGTGGCAGCATCCCACATAAAGTAGAGGAAGATGGGCACAGATGTTAGCCCAGGGCCAATCTTCCTCAACAAAAAGAGGAGGATTGGTGTCGGCTGTTAGCTCAGGGCTAATCTTCCTCTCACACACACACACACACACACACACACACACATACACACACACACAAAAGCTGACTGTATCTGCTTAATACAGATATTCAAAACGCAGAATACTAATCACTGAATGGTGGTTTTTTTCTGCACATAAGGCTGAGTCACTGGGAGCTAAGACCCCTAAGTTGAGAACTGTACAGGTGTAACAAGGGGATCTACTGCCATTAGCAGCTTTCCTTGGGTGACTGTATGGATATTCCCTCGCTGGGTCAACATTCCCTGCTCAACTCCTAGCCAGCACCTCAGAATCACCTGTGGGGGGATGGGGGGAGAGCAGCTTTTCTAAGCTCCTCACATACCCTCCCCACACTCCTCAAGGCATATCCCCTGCTCACTGATGACAGGTGACACACCCTTTATGTACCCTGGGCTGAGGATCACTGGTTCAGATAGCCCCACTTATCTGGCTTCCACATGAAGTTTTCAGTGAGTTACAGGGTGCACCAAGATGCTAATCTCCTTATATGGGCTCTGGGATCCACCACCCGCTGTCTTAAAGGCCATCCAAAGCCTGCCTTTGAATAAGCATATCAGAACCTTGGAACCAACCTGTTTCCCTCGAAGGCAGCCAATTGCCTTAGTGCCTATAACAGTCTCCTACGGGACCAAATTCTGTATGAACGAGGCGGTGTGATAAAGGACCATCCAGACTCTGAGGAGAACTTCTGCCTCAAGGAGAGTTTCCAGGGTCCCAGAAGATAGTTATTTGATTTAACAAAATGTTCTATAACATACCTGCATCAGGTCTTGTTTCTCTTTTTCTCCTGAGCTAATAGCCTTTCTGATAGATTTCAGTTCAGTTAGAATGGCTTTGGCTTCACTAAGTTCATAGCCACTCTGGCCTCCAGACATTTTTTTATCAATTCTGTTAAAAGGAAAAAAAAAAAGAAAGAAAGAAAAGGAAAAGAAATTAAAGAATGACAATACAAGTTAAAAAAAAAAAACTGTAGGAATTGGTTTTTGGATTGTCTTAGTTGGTTGATTATTTTACTACGTGATCTCACATACCGGTGTCATCCTTTCAAGCTGATGGTTTCCCTTCTTTCTCTTCTAATCACTTCTAGCTAAGATTTCTCCCACCCACCACCATTTCTAATCATTTTCAGGCTCAGTCTTTTGTCTTCAGCCTGCCTGGATGATCCCACTGCTGGCTGAACTCAAACCTCAGCACACGCTGATCCTGATCTCCACCCTGAGAAAGGTTAAGGACACAGGAGACAATTTAGCAGGACAGAAATGCCAATGAACTGGACAACCACAGGAACTACAGGATTCGTCCCTGCTGCCTAATTTTACACGCCAGAACGCCCGTGCAAAACCCAGCGCTGTGCCCACAGCTTGGTAGGCTGTTCATACGTGGTCATGATTATTATTTATACTAGTGCATATCCTACAATATTGGATTGTGTGGTTAGTTTCTTATGTCTTTTTAAATACATGGAAAGTATTTATTCTATTTTTACGACAGTTGTGAATCAAGAGAAAATTGCTTGCCTTGCTGAATGAGTTCAAATCTAGGAACAAGGCAGAAGGACAGATACGTTCATTTGTCAACTAACACTGAATGAAGAGCTCTTCAATGAGCTAATTTATTACCTCTGCAGATCTGCTCACCAAACGTCCTTACAGTTCACATGGTCACCCCATGTCAGAGGATCTCATGTAACAGAATCCCTTGTGTTTGAAGGGTCCAACCAAATTACCTAATTCTTTCTAAAAAATGGTTTAACAATGTCTTCACATCACTCTCCTGGTTCCCCCCGCCACCTCTGCAGCCCAGGATTCACTGTGAACAGCCTGGGCTTCACCGAGGAACGTACAGCTTCACCTCTGCCCCATCGGCCCACAACACCCATTCCCAGACATATTCTTGGGCTTATCTACAGACAAATACACGTTCGTGGACGTAGTCTTGGTCTAATCCACAGACTCTCCAGAGAAATGGCACCTAATAAATCACAGAAAACGGGCTCCGAGCTCATTTGGTTTAAAACATTTAACGATTTACATTTATTTCAATGTGAAGGGTATAATCTGAAAAAAAACCAAAACAACGTCATCTTTTTCACTCTTCCGAACAAAATTTACTTAGGTGCAGTCTATAGAGAACATATTTCCCCAAGCACTATTTTATTAAATATTTTATGCTGTTAACAAGCAATGAAAGCCTATAAGAACCCAGAACAATAAAATAAGTTTCATCATAAGGTCATTTGATAATAAAGGACAACCAGTGAAGTCAGTGAATTACACAAACACACACACCAAGTGTTCAGGGTGGGAAAGGACCCTGGAGGTCTACGAGTCACACGTCCTCCAAACAAAGAAACCGAGGCCAATTTAGGGGCTAAATCTGCACAAACACTTTGCTAGTAGGGCAACCAGCCTCACAGGTTCAGGCTTCAGGCTCTTATGACGATTACATTCATAATATTTGATAAGAACACTGGAACTACTTTGAATATTGGTTAATTCCATTTATTTGGGAAGGGATTTGTCAGTGAACTTGTTGGCCCCCTTAACTATTCTACCTACCAACTTAGTTGAGGCAAAAGGTTTATTTTAATTAAAAAAAAAAATCGGTGAGATTTCACGAAATAGCTAGTAATATAGGAATCTCAAACTGTGTCAAAGTGAATCTCTAAAGCCAAGTAATTTCTTCCTATTTGTGTAAAACCTGCAGAATTTAACAGTAAAACAAATTTTTAATTCAGAAGTCAACTTTAACATTTGAAAATAAAAAAGCAGGTAAAAAAAGCTGTTTTCAGAAATAAACTTTAACATTTAAAAATAAAAGCAGGACTACTTCAAGACTGCTAAATTTAAATTGCAGAGAGCTTTAACAATAGATGAAAGTTTCCTGGATGTCCACCGCTCAATCAAGTTAAAAATGACAAGAGCAAGCCATCTCAACGCAGCATGCACCGTGGAACCCCTTTTGGTCTTTCTTTCTTTCTTCTGCCTCCTTTCAACCTCTCTACTTTACTCTAAATGTTGCTTTTTTCCTTTACCTCCATGTTTCTCCTTTTTCTCCTCCACTTTTCATCTCCCACCTTTTTTCTCTTTTGACCCCAACTGACAATGAAATAAAATATTAGCATTACTTGCTGATTTTTGAAAACAAAGTACTGTGCTTTTTGTTCTTGTTTTGAGAAACATCATTACATATTTTTCCCTAAAAAATTAAAAATTTTTTGGTTTGTACCCTATAATTAACTTTTCCCTGTATCTCAGCCTCTTCAGAAAGAGCAGAGATCACCATTTGCATGCCTTCCCTGGAAAATATGCACCCCCAGAGCCAAACTTTCATAGAATCTGCATATACTCTTGGCTTTCTGGGTGTTTCATCACCTCCCATTTTCCAATTTTGAGTGAACACTGGAGGTGGCGAAGTGGAAATACGTTTCTTCCTGGTATCCGTCTACACATAAACTACACTCTTGCTTAGGCCAAAGTCAAATTTGGGACCACAGACTGAAATGAATAATGTGGAGAATAAAACTACATTCATTCATTCACCATAAACTATTATACCAAGTAAAATGAAGCCTGAGTTTAAATTACATTATAATTTCAGATTCAACAAAACTATTCCATTCTATTGTGAATAAGTAAAAAGTCACAAAAGCCTGCAGTGGGATTCTATTTAAATATTTTCCTGAAATATATTTCTTGTCATAACCCCAAGTAAAAGTCCCTTTATAGTATCAGGAATGTGGTCTCTTGAAAAGCATGGTATGGTCTCTGGGTTCAATCAATCATTATTCAATGTTCTAGTAGTGTGGTGGTTAACATTTGAATGAAAACAGCTTTATTTTGTCTATAGTTAAGATCAACAAGAAAGGTCTCTGATGTTAGATATCATATCTTTCTGCTCTTGGTTCAAGGGATCAGAATCATTGTAAGAGAATGCCTGAATTTCTACAACAAATGTCTATTGTTGCCTTGTGGAATGTTATTGACAGATTCTTAAACATGCCTTAGATTCCTATAAAAACTGCTTGCAAGCAAACTGTTTTGAAACAATACGGCATTGTTACACCAATATAACAAAAACAGCAAGTTTGGCTAACCTTTAATCTTGGGTGGTGACATGAGTTATAATTTCACGTGCCTTAAAACTGTTTAACGTATGGCTAAACATTTTGTGGTGCTCTTCAATGTTTGTTTTCTCTCTCCACACCTACCAGAAAGCCTTCCTTTATGTTGCTACACAATGACTAAATAACACATTTATGTCATTCTAGGTCTGCCCAGTTTCTAGGCAAGCTCTGCAACCAGCTGAAGTTCTTAGAACACACCTATACTCGAGAACCACCTGGGGATCTCATAAAATATACCCGGGGTGGAGACCAGAAACAGGTATTTTTTAAAGAGCTCTGCAGGTTATTCTAATATGCAGCCAGGTTGGAGAACCACTAGGGTGGCAATGAAGCAGGGATTTCCAGACCCCACTTCCCTTTCCCCTCTGCCATCTACGTTTCCATTCAACCTGGCCCGGCCTAGGGCTATGCCAATGGCCCATCAGACTTCAGCACAGAACTGGAAAGCGCAGAAGGCACCGGGAAACGAGGAGCTCAGAGATGCCTGCACCAGGGCCCAGGGCAGTGGAGCTCACTAGTCCCGCCCTCGAGCAGAATGTGGAGCGTGCTCCCTGGGCCCATTCCCTTAGCTCTACACCTCCATCTTAGAGCAGGCTGCCAGGTGCCCGGGAGACAAAGTCAAGTTCCTTACTTTAGTTTCTTTGGATCGCCAATGATTAACAGAAACTTCAGACATTTTCAAAGTGTATAGATTTTCCCAAGTTTTTTGTTTGTCAGTTGATCGCTGTTTGCTTTTTGGTGCAGAGCTTTGAGCTTTTTACTTTATGTTTCTTTGAGAAATCTCTTATGTAATCAGTACTTCTATTTCCTTTGTCTTAGTGAGGGGGCTTTGAATTATTCTAAAGTCAATTTCAGGATTTTCATACTCACTGTTGCAATGTTTCAAAGCCTTGTTCTTTATAGAGCAATTCTTGCTTCATCTGTGAGAGCTCTCTCTTCAGCTTTTTAACCTTTTGTGAGAAATCAATGTAAATATGAATGTTTGTAAATAATTAGCAAGACTGTTTTAAAAGATGACCCATCAGTAAACTATTAAACACACGACCAGTCATTAGTTTAACATTCACTCTACTAGTTTCTCCTTGACACAAATCTACAGAAGGTAGATTAACTACATTTACAGTAGCAATGATGCATATATCACTAATATTTACCCTCATCATCTTAGTTAGCAACATTCCTATGAGCTGGACATGACCATGGTGTCCATTTTGTGATAAACAGCCAGTAAGGGGAGAGTAAGAGCTTTAAACAAAGGGGTCTCCCACCGTGTCCTTGTCCTCCCTTCGCTATGCTCCAGGACCGCTGGCCACCCCTCTGTTTCCCAAACACACCAGGAAGCACCTGCCTCAACACTTCTGCACGTGCTGTCCCCTCTGGCTAGAAGGCTTTTCCCTCCGATCTTCAATAGTTGACTCCTAGTCATTCAGGTCTTAGCTCACACACTGCTGTTTCAAATAGGACTGGTCTAACCACCCTCCCCATGCTAACACTCTGTTTCATTTAGTTTATAGTATTTTTCCAGAGCTGAAATTTTCTGTGTACTTGTTTACTGTCTGTCCCCCATGAGACAGTAAGCTGCACACCAGCTGTGTCCCGAGCTTCTAGAACAGTACCAGGCAAACGGTAGGTGATCAATAAATATTTGTAGTCAAATTGATAAAAAATATTTTTTTCCTGTTGCCAAATACATTCTTTGGTAATAACAATACTAAAATCTGATGGGTCAGAAAAACAGCAGAAGCCTGGTTTAGTCACAAAATAAGGTTTTCACATGGGTGTCAGAAACTTATTTCTATATATCAAAGTTTAAGCACATTCTGTTATACAGTATTTCAATGTGCTTTTGAACTTTTATTTCCTATTTATTCTACCCATGCTACAAATATTTATTGACTCTCCACTATGTGTCAGGTCCTGGGTCTGAAGTATGAACAAAACAGACATGATCTTTGCCCTTATGGGTCTTACAGAACAATACGGAGCCAGATATTGAGCAAACAATCATCTAACAAAATAAATCCTACCAATTACCACAGGTGACATCAAGGAAAAGTCCAGGATACTTTGAGATGTATAAGGGGGACGGGACCTAATTTAGTCTGAGGGGTTGGGTAAAGCCTTTCTGAGAAAACGATGTCTAAGCTGAGAGGGTCAGTGGGGCTTCACTTAGTAGAAGAGGCAGAGCTTGTGGACAAACCCTAACTGGGGGAGGTGGGAAACTCGGCAAATCCCTGGGATTTAAGAATGCTACCACTGCTGGATTACAGAGGTGGAGTGCAGCACGAGAAGGGCCTGGAAAAGAAGGCCTGATTATGTAGGGTCTTGAAGCCACATTGAGGATTTCTAAATCTTATCCTAAGAACAATGAGAATCAGGGAGGGATTTTAAAGCATGATCTGCTTTATGATTTTAGAAGATCACTGTGACAACTCTGTGGTGATTGGATCAGAGGGGCCAAAAGGGGCCATTCCACCTGCACTGCGGATAGGGGTGTAGACAGCACTGTAGAGAGTAGAGCCCAGAGGAAGAAGTATTTTGCAGGGAGAATCAACAGGACTTGGTGATGGACTCAATGTGGAGGATGAATTGGATCAGAGGGGCCAAAAGGGGCCATTCCACCTGCACTGCGGATAGGGGTGTAGACAGCACTGTAGAGAGTAGAGCCCAGAGGAAGAAGTATTTTGCAGGGAGAATCAACAGGACTTGGTGATGGACTCAATGTGGAGGGTGAAGGAGAAGATGTGTCAAAGGTCACCTCCAGGATTTTGGCTTGCCAGGAAGGTGCTTTCCTAGAGACTGAGACCAGATTTGGGGGAAAGATCAGGGTTTTCTTTCAGATATTTATTTTTCTGATACCCACAAGACTTCAAACAATTGGAATATGTGGACTTGATGTTCAGAAGTGTCTGGACTAGAGATATTAACTGAGAGTCACTGACATAAAGATGATATTTTAAATGCATGAGAATAAATGGGATCACCTAGAGACAGGACTGAAAAGAGAAGAGAGTTCAGGAACACACCTTGGGCATCTTCATCATTCAGAAGTCTACTAGAGGAAGAGACAAAATATATCACGTAGTAGTGGCAAGAGAAGCTGGAGGAAAAAAAGAGAGCATCATGGAATAAAAACGTTAAGAGGGAGACTAGGCACTCTGAGGAATAAAATGACAAAACAAGAGCTGAGGTATACTCATGTTTGTATACTTAACACACAATTTGGATATAGTCGATATTCAATAATTTATCTGTTAAGTTTATCTGAATGTTTAACAGCCTGTGCCCTGAGGCACTTATATTTTATTAGGGAAAAGGATATACAAACAACTGTGTTGCAAGGCCCAATTTATAACTACCAAGAGAAGTATAAACAATGCTATTTGAATCCAAAGGAGGAAAGGATTCCTTACGGCTTGGGGATGAGGGCTGATCTCATGGAGGAGGAGATAGCTGAGCTGGATGTTGAAGGTGCTGTAATATTCATGAAGAGCAATGAGTTCATTTGCAGTGCATCATAAAGACATGTCACGTTTAGCTAGACTATTATCATGTCAAATGGGCATCAGTAATCAATAGCTCGTTCCCTGTGTACTTCTATTTCTGATGGCACTCTCAAGAACTTTTTACCAAAAAGACTGTAAAGTTTTTATTTTAAAAAAACAACTGTTAATCCAAAAATCAACAGCAACTCAAAGTGGTGGGCTGAAACTTGTCTTTACTTTTAAAAACACAGTTGGGGGCCGGCCCTGACCGCTTCTCCGGCCATGCTGAGGCCGCGTCCCACATACAGCAACTAGAAGGATGTGCAGCTAGGACATACAACTATCTACTGGGGCTTTGGGGGGGAAAAAAATAAATAAATAAAATCTTAAAAAAAAATAAAAATAAAAACACAGTTGGTAAAAGCAATGGTGATACTGAGCCCACTGAGAACAGCTCAATTAAAACAATTAGTATATCTCATTGACATAAAATAGCATTCTACTTAAAATCATTTGGACTGTGATGACACAACAATTTAATTTTTTTCAAAAATTATCATTTAAAATCTAAATTAACTTTTGACAACTCAGACTCTTCTCTGTTTAAGCAGTGTGAGGGAGATTTTGTGGTATGTTGGGTGAACAACGATAGAGGAAGCTAATCTGTGCTTTCTTTTCTTCCACGTTATTTCCTTTACCTGAAGTTGGCTGTAAGCTACTGTTTTTATTTTGGGGAGTCTTCTTAGTTGGACTGAATGACCCTCAGCTAACGAATATCAATGCTGCATTTTATTTTGTTAACTATGAAGAAGTTTGATTCTATTATACCAACAAGTGAAAGCAGATATTACTTCCAACCAGACGTTATTTCCAATTGTTCTTGGTTTTAAGAGTTTGGTCTTAATTAGTTCAACAACCTTTCTTCTTGGAGAACCATTTGACAAGGTTAGCTATTAAAGCATCACCGCTTCCATTCTTCTCTTCTCCAACCCACCCTCAAATGTAGGACACAGAATGTAAAAACAAATGTCCTCAGACCACAGCTAAAGGATTTAGCTAACACTGACTTGCCAATTTAGCACAGTGTGGACTCTACTAGGAAGCAATAATGAGAGCTAAAGTTCGAGAACACTTTATGTATTCCAGGCATTGTGCTAAATATAAATACCTATTTTCAATCCTTATAACTATTCTACTAGATAGAGACAGTTTTAATTCTTATTTTATATGTGAGGAATCTCAGACCCAAAGAGAATAAGTAAGTAATCTGCTGAAGGTTACACTGCTACTAAGCAACAAAGAGCAGTCTAGAACCCAGGAGAATTTTTTCTAAACTACAATTATAGAAGTTTTGGCTACTAATGGCATGATAATACATGTAAGATTAAAGAAAAACTAGAAGTGCAACAAAATGACCTAAATAAAATCTATGGCCCTTATTCTACCTTAGAAACTTCATTATTCCTGCATCCTACCCAAACTGAAGACATGAATGGCCCACAAGCCCTAGAGTCTGTTTTTTTTTCCTCTTACATACTGAACTTTCTGCAGCTGTAGCCAACCATCTAATTTTACAGACCTATTTCTATGGAATCAAATCTCACAACCCAGAGTATCAAATTAGAGGCAGGAGACTCATGACTTATGCACATTTCCTGCTTTCTATGCTGACTACACTAAAGCCACTGACATTTTAAATTGATTTTAAAGTCATTTCTGAAAACCAGGAAGATACTGTGATTAAATGTGATAAGTACGACTGGAAACCACAGAGCCTCTAACCATCTCTTACAATCCTAGTATGTAATAAGTTTTATTTTAAAAGAAGGAGAAGGAAGATGACAATGAAGGAAAAGTAAATTCCAGAACCTGTGGACCTTGGAAGGATTACAAGACAGGCAGGTTTCATAAGTGTGCCCTGAAAGTGAAGCATGTAACATTAAAGCTGTAATGAGCAAAATGGCATTTTACTAATGACCACCTTTCCTCTTCACCATTTTTTCCATAGTCTTGCCGGGAGCTCCTTACGCAAGCCCACAAAGGGCAACTGTGAACTTGCTCCTTCTGGAAGTCTTTCTCTTCACTGCTGCTTCCACCGCACTGGAAAGCCTCACCACCCTGCCCCACCTCTAAAGTCACCTTTAAAGAAAATGGGAAATCAGCTCCAGAGTGAATGGATTAATAGTAATAATATTTTTGACTTGACTAATGAATAGAAGAACACAGAATCTCAGATGCTGTTAGAACCATTTCTGATGTCTAATAAATGGATGCTGTCATCAGAAACAAGACAATTGAATGTACCATTTTTTCTAAAAACCCAAACTTTTGTTTAACAATGATAAAAAGGGAATAACAAAAGCCACTGAGAAAAATTATATGAAACATTTATGAAATATACTACCTTGAGATACAAATAATAGAGAAAAATATGGAAGGTCAATGCTAGGCCTCCATAAGTAGTT